ACCTCACCGCCCCCATGCGCACGCCACTGAATCGATAATATAATATATTATTTTAAAACACCGCGCGAATTCGTCGATTCGATTTTCGTCGAAAAACGCGTGAACGGGCGGTATAGTTTCCGCCACGTGTTTATCCGCCTAATATTTCTCGATGGCATTAACATCAAGAGAAATTGCGGTCGACTGTAATTTCTCGTAGTATAAGTTTAGTATATATTATATACCTATATATATGCACGCGATGAGCTTATGCGATTTCGACTATCGCGTAAAGTCGTTTATATAAAACGCCGTGTAATAACAAAACGTTTTTTTATGTTAATGCGTATATAACCGGCTAAACAATTGCGAAACCGCCCACCCCAACCCCGTCCCACAGTAAGTTCATGAATATTCCTCTCGCGAAACGCTGTCATATAAGAGATATAATAATAAACGAAATCGAATTTTAAAAAAATAACAGTCGAGTTATTATTGTGTACAATAACTGGCTGTCCCGCCCGAATTTACCCGTGCCAACCAAACGTGCGATAAAAACGTTTTCTTCCCGGATTCCCCGTTTCAATCCCCATCACCATTGCCGTTGTTGCCATTGAGTTTTGAAAAAAGAATTCTCTTTAATTTTTCTTTTGAAACTTGTATAAATTAATCGTGTCGTTGCTATAAGCAATGAAAAGTATACTTTTATACATTCTTTCCGGCCCAATCTACTGCCGGTTAGGTCTATGCTGGTTAGATCTAGGATTTTAATAGCTTATTTAATCCTTCTCCGGGCAACTCTGACCATTTTACGAAAACCGAACGCAAATTACCCCGGACATTAAAAAGGCACTTTGTTTTTTTTTATATAAAGTTAATAATAATATTAACGAACGGTTTGCGTGAATTGAACGACGGCCAACCCCGACACAATATACAGGGCGATCGACATAACGTATAAAATACTCGGAAAGTGTTGACTCTCTTTGAAATTAGCGTTTAACCAGTCGATGAGATATTCCGTTTTTAAGTTTCGCCGGGGGGTTAGTGGCAGAACACTGTTAGAACGCCGCGCGCCGTACCGCCACATGAATATCAGGTCGACTGATTGACGGAAATTAAAAATTTCTAAACCGAAATTGATTTAAACTAATACTCGGTCTAGTTATGGTATTTTCAATTATGATTGCCATTTGAAAATCGAAAGTATGTATGGCGGTTTCAAACCGTCAATTAAGGTTTCACACTTTATTAACTCAAATACACCGCTACTGACGATTGACACCAATAATATTATAATATCTACGCGACTACGACCTGAACATCGCAGCTATACGTTAAAAACACGCGCACTTCTTTAGATTCCGAGTTATGTACGGCGAAAAAACAGTTCGTTTTGAGAATACATAAAACATTTTATCTGTAGTCTGTAAAAACGCTCAGGTTTCCGTGTAATACCTAGTGAAAGTAGTATGTATAGGTAAAAAAAAAATCAAAGCCAAAGTGACCGTAATATTTTAGTCGTATTCGCTATATAAATATTATGGTTATTAAAACTAAACAATTTTAGGTACCGATTTATATTGAAAACTGTTATGCGCGTAATCGCATTAACTTTGCTTTTAGCAAAAATACATTTTTGATTTTCAAGTAGAAAATTATCGTTGCTCCGACGTAATAATACTGATAATACTGCATTACTATAATGTATTCCTTTATTCATCTTATTTGTACGGAATGCTATAAGATGGCTGATCATCTTAGTGCGAGCAGCTTGATAGGTCGGGTTCGTATTTGGTTCCACACACGAGTAATTGAAAATCCGTGTAAATATTTTATTAATTAATATACAACTTTATTATAATATGTCTACGATTACTGCTGCCGTCCCGATTTTATAAAAACGGCCACGATTTATTAAGTAACAAAAAAATTAGATACACATATAAGTACCTATAGGGTCTGGTTCGTCGAGTCACGAAAACGTGAAACTGTGCACCATAATAATAATCATCGTACCTCATAAATCGTTAGGAATGGGATTTTTAACTCAATGATATACGTACTAATCAATTAACTTGACAGATGATGACATTTCACGTTTCAATATCACCGCTATCTCAAGTTGATAACATACAGATATACATACAACGGATGTAAGTAGATAAAATCGTATCTACATCGTGATCTACATGGTATATTTAAATAAATTGTCAATTTTTGATGGTATAATGTTATCAGTTATTAATTGTTATCTCCATTGTTACCAAGTTGTGTTATAAAATTGCGTATAACCTCATTGAAAAAGTCAACTATGAGTCTGTGTATAGACACAGATATTACACGTCCATAATTCACCTATTCAAATTATTATAGCTGCAGGTTTAGCACAGGTATTTTATTTTCAAATAGAATAAACAACTAAATAAAATTAGTAATTTTAACAATAATTAGAGCTGTCCCGTACGTAGATTTTTAAACTATAACGATATCGACATGAAAACCAGCTATACTTTGGCACTTCTATTTGTTCAGTGTATAGGTCCTTTTAAAATAATTTTTCGGGCAGTAAAAGCGCTCCGAATCATTCATATCGTATCATTTTACCGCGAGCTCTTATGTGTCCTATATGCTATCCTCAATCTATATCCTTAGGCCTCCCGAGATATACGCGCGACGGTTTTCCCATGGTGCAAAGCGTGTCAGCGGATTTTTTTTTTTTTATAAACACAACGCAATATTATTACTGCGGTTAAAATCTGATCCGTTTGAAAACTTCGAAAATACACACAATATTATTTCATACTAAATTAATTACTATTGTTCGTCTGTTTGGTGTTTTAAAATTCAATTTTATTAATCAATTACGTATCCGCGCGTTGTGCATATACATGTTAATTTTTTTTAATCAAACATCGCGTTGCGTATTATTATTATTGCTATGACCATATGACGGCGAAACACGGTGCGCATATCATATATTGAACCTATAAATAATCGATTTTATTTTTTCGTTTCGTGTTCAAACGACTCGGAGAAATATTATTGTAATTAATTAAACGGATATTTTAAATTAACGTAACACTTAACACTGTGTATTGTCGTGTTTATAATAATATAATAATACTCGTACGAACGCTGCAGCTGTTCGGCCGTAGAGTAGAATATCATTTAGTTTTTTTTCGCACATTCAGCGCGTTTTTTTGTTTTGTTTTTTTTTTCTCTCTCTCGGATTAGTTATATTTTTATAGCGCAGTAAAATAACACTGTTATAGTAGTCTGTATATAATGATATATTATAAACGATCGTTAGGGTTATGGGACTGCGTGCCGCGTAAAATGTGACGCAGCGAAAATCTCGCTCTCTCCGCGAGTTCGCATCATGCGAATCGATACATTCAAACGACGGGGACATAAAAAAAAAAAAAAAATCCGATCAATACGATAGTAAATACACACGTCTTCGGCGTTTACACGTTTGTTTCGGCTCGCGCGCTAACGCGTCGTCGAAAAATTTAATTACTGGGGCTTTTTATTATTTTCTTCGCGGTGTGTTCGATCCGGCGGTGCAGACGATTCGTGTATGCGTGTTAAAATTACGTTAATTACGGGACATTATAGTGCGTGTACACGCGGTAACACCCGAGGGCCGATGGTTTTATTATTTGTGTTTTTTTGCCGTGCACCGCCGCAGACGCGTTTTCATAATATATTCGATCCGATCGATCATAATAATATTTCATGTTGATGTTACGCGCGCGGCGGTAAAGGTTTCGCGCGTTTGATTAAAAAAGTCAAAAACGAAATATTAACGAATTGAATTTCGACTCGCTGCGAGAAAGTCAACGTGCATTAACGTCACGTGTTGTTTTCGACGAGTTAATCGAAAACAAATTTAAATCTTTTGTACTACGGGCCCGTAATGAACGACGCGCGTTTCAACCGTTTTCAATATCCGAACTAACATTGCGTTATATGCCAGGCGCCTAGAATACAAGGGGTATAAGTGACATTTTATTGATTTCGAGATAATCAAGTTTAAAGCTATTTGAATATATTCAATATAATTATTATATAGTATGTTATCATAACGTTCATCACTGTTCGTGTATTCGAATGTTAAAAAAAAGTGTTAGACACTTGGCAGTAAAGAGACATAACTGTGTTCACAGTTGTTGTGGACGCTTTTACCTATTTACTTCTAATTTATTATGGCGTTTTAATCTGAAGACTATTTTAATGTTCATGACGAATAATTCAATTATATTTCTTTACCATAAAATAAAATCGAAAATTTGTATTTCAGCTGTGCACTTGACAAAGATTTTTTTTACACACCACATACTTCTTGTGTTCTAGGCGCCTCATATTATTTAAAAACGCATTTTCAATAACGAACATGTGTGTATATATACGTGACACTTTGATGGCGATTCGGTTAAAGGGCGAATAGTGTGAAATACCATAACTTCGTACGTATAATTAGAAAGTATGAACAATTTCGTTTGAAATTTGCACGTCTGAAATGTTTCGAACGCATGTGCTAGAAAGGATTTCGATAACATGGGTATTGAAAAATATATTTTTGTTTCTAAATATTTTTCAATTGGTTCGGTTTTACATCATATAATATTAAATATTATTGGATTCGGTTTAAAAAGTAAAATATTATATTCGTTCTTCAAATTTTCCGTGTGCCGCAATAAACAAAAATGTCTATAATGTCACAAAATTAAAACCTATACAAATCTTTTTAAAGTATATTTTTAATTGTAAATGTTTTCGATTCGTTGTTAACAATTTTTGAAAAGCTATACACGAGCAGAATCGTTCGGTGTCTTAATAGCTCCTATATTAGAGTTTTAAATTTAAAAATAAATTGTATACTATTATTACTGTTTGTCATTTAAATAAAATATTTTATCCATCTTTCGTGAAAATGAAATATTAAAAAAAAAAATTATAAATTTCACGTAATATTAGAACCCTATGTATAGATCAATATAGGTACGAAACATTGTTATCGTCTTGAGAAAATACAACTACAAAGTCAAAATTTTAGTAATACCTCGGGTCGCAGGTTAAACTTTTAAACCCGTATGGCATAATATATTAAGGTTTCACAGCGAATTATTTCAAAAGGGCAATGTAGATGCTCGCGCAAGTGAATATAATATTGTGTGCGTGTATAGTATCAAAGGCTAAAATGCAGTATACAGTCCCGAAACATATTTGAAACTTTAGAGTATACTTTCTTCAGTTGTTATGGTTGGTAAAACATATAAACAGACAATAATATTACGAACACGATAGTAATATAACACAATAACTGCTCCGACACAGCGTATACGTCGTATAGGTATACGCGATTGTTTCTTTATATAAAATCATAAACACTCCGAAATTAATTCAATCGCTATTATACGCGCCAGTAGCGTACCCGGAGGGGAAAGGGATGCGTTTTAGTCCACTCTCCCTACAATTTGGGTCGTTTTAAAATTATTATTTTCCATCAAAATCCAAATGCATACCTATATAATAATATTATATTATATTATTTCGTTTCGAACATCGCTCGCGTAATAAATTGTTATTATTATTTTTTTTTTTATTTTACTTGACCTATATAATATTGCGGGTAATTAGATTATTTTTCATTAACGCCGTCACCGTGTCGGAACGAATTTTTTTTTAATTTTTTCATCGCAAAAAAAAAATATATATATATAAATTGAAATTTACGATACCTATCTGCTTATAACTATAAGGTTATGAGTAGAGTTTAGATTTAAATGCCCTAGAAACTACAAAGAAATGATGTAGAAAATAACCAAAAATACCCTTCGAAATATGTACTTGGAAAGCACTTTCTTAGACTACAACAAAAATAATGGATTTTATATTAAAATCCAAACTCTAGTTATATGAGTATGGAATATTTTCCCTGAAACACAGAAATATGAATTTTATTTTTAAAAGACAATTATTTATGGGTTAAGTTTTCTAATATGTTTTATAAAACACTATCCTATTGAATTCACTTAAAATATTATAATGTTCGTATAATTTCCATTATAAAAATATGTCTTTAATGTGAAAAACGAAAACTAATCATACTATTTGTTTAAACCATTGTTGATTTTAGATGTTTTTAATTCATACATTTCAACATTTTTTTTTGTTTTAAATAACTTCTTTATGATCGTTTCAGTGCCTTACTATTATATGAGTATTTTTTTTGTCCATCAAAATGAAATATTTCTTGAAACTCGGATGAAATTTTAGAACTCAAAGTCTTATCTATACAGTAAACATTTCCCGCAGTTATTTTTATAATAATATAATGTTATAATATTTGATGCGAGAAGACGATTAAAAGTTATATTTTAGTAAAAAAAAACCCCTTTTATACAGTATGATAGTTTTGAAAAAAAAACCTACTTTCTTTACACATAATTTGTGTCAACACACGCGTTTACACGCCACGGAATTATCTCTCGGTCGACGCGGGCGGTATAGAACCGTAAAAAATATTATTTATAATGTACACAAATATTGTTTCAAAGTAATAGTTCGAATGGAACGAAGTACCAATTTTAAAATAAAGTCACCTCGTGAAACAATAAATAAATAAAACATAATTGTGTTACACGATTGTACCGTTGCCGGTGACGTACATTTCCATCGCGAAATTTCCTCGATTATTCCGGTGGGGAATTGTAGGCAATAACCTTTGCATATTAAACAGTCTCCAGTTTTTAAAATCGAAAATACGCAATTATAATATTCTTAACCTACTTGTACGCTAAGGTATAAACCTGCAGCATTACGATGCACAGAAGTACCTACACTAAAATCCATGTTTATTTTAAGTACCAATAAATATTAAAATCGACAAAATATACCAATTAAAAAAAAATCAATCATTAATAAGCAGTTGTAGTCGTACTATTGTACAAATGACTCAACTATATACATTTATAAATAGGTAATACGCAAGGTACCTAACTACAAAGAGAAATAAGATCCGTCACCGAGGACTTAATCGGCTTTTTCAGGTTTCCAGAAGTTATGGCAATTATATAATTATATCGTTAATATTTTATCAATAAACAACAAAAAAAAAAAAATAATAAAAAATATACTGTCGTTCAATATGATTCGCAATTTCTTTTATTAATTTGTTTGCTATATATGAAATACCCGAGGAATAATTGTTTCCGATTACAAAACCGGAGATTGAGACGCGAACGTTTGTATATAATGATGCGCATTGACATAAATATGTTTTTTTTAAGTCGGCCAAAGATTTCTTAAGCTAACGTCAGCATGGCTTGATCCGCCGTGCCTTATAATTTCTTTAAAATAACGTTTATTTAAACAAACAAAAAATCTTTTTACGGTTTTAAATAAACGCTATTTTGATTGTTTATAGAATATGTAGAATTGTAGAGAGGTCTGTTGTTTGCTCAAATTAGATGACCAGTGGTGATTGATTGAAGTGTTGAACCCTTTATTACAATCAATATCACAAAATGAAATAATTTTTTAAAAAATAGTAGAAAGTATAGACATTTTCAGAACAAATTTCCATGGAAAAATCTATTTTGTATGAAAACGTGTGGCGTTTAACCGAGAGTGTATTGGATATCGATACATATATTAATTGCCTAACACATACGCAACCGCATAACAATTTCTATCAATTTCCATGCGATCGGTCTGTTCGGCTTAATGAAACGACAGGAATTCTGAAAACAGATTTGAATTCACCGTGAAGCGTACACGAAATCGATCGAGATACTTTTCAGTTTAATTTAAGTTTTAATATTTTTTTTTTTAAATATACGTTTTCGAATCAAATTTGTGTAAACTAAGGACTGATAATTTAAAAAAGTGACCCGACCGTTATCGAGTACGTCTCGCGCTGAATTCGAATCTGTTTTTGGAATATTCCAATCGCTTTGCTATATATGTATATCCGACTGATTCCTGGGAAATCGGTTTAAACTGCTACGTTGCGAGTATTCGTGTTAGACAAAGAAGGAAAATGTATCCAATCCAACCCTCTTATAACTTCGAAATATAACTATATCATTGTAATTTTACGGTACTATTTTACGGCACAGTTGACTTTCACGATATAATACATATAGTGTTTTGTAAGTCTTCTTTTCCGAACGGCGAGAAAAAAAAAAAAGGCCAGGCAGTTAATATTAAACGCGTATAATATGAATTATGATGTCGGTCAATTATTTGTTAATATTTTAGATCACATACACAATTATTAATATAGACGTGCATTTCGCAAGCCCTACAAATACGATTTTTTTTTTGATTCTGATTTCTGAACGTAATTTTTCTTCGCAGATAATGTAATGTGTATTTATACTATACAATTATAGTGTGCATTTGTGCGATTACTTTCAGCAGAATTTGTCCGATACTGATTTTAAAACGCAAATTCGAAAAAACCGGCTGGGTGTTGAAAATAATATCATATGTTCTTCCTATAAAAAGGGCCGGATTTATCTACAAGCAAAATAAACATTGTTTATTGCTCTAAAACAAAAAAAATCTGACCTAAAAATGGCTGAGACTAATAAAAAATAAAATATTTATATTTTAAATATACAATTATTTTGATCAGTCGTTTGACCTTTGGAGCAGTTTATAACGTCCGTTCGTATACAAGTTACATGCAATTTATGAAGATAGTCTATTTCTGTTTTTCATTTAATTTTTTTTAATTACACGTAATTATTGATTATAATTGGTATTATACTTGTAGTATAACGTATGAATGATATTTTTCAATTTGTACCCTTCATCATTAAATGAATATCTAGAGTACCTACATATAGGTATCGGTATAGGTGCCACAATTATTTTTATCTCTAAAATGTTTTACGCATTTAAAATTAAGCCCGTCTGACTTATTTGTTTGCGACACGCAGAGTATTTAATCCGGCTACATCCTATAACACCTAGTTATCATATTTTGAAAATTGTTTTGTTTGTTCAACATACTAGAGTGCCCGTGCCATTTTATTATAATGGGTGGTTGTGTGACTAAGACCGACATTTATCACGGTATATTATAATTTTTTTTCATTGTTTTTAGCTACCATCTAAATATATCTAAATATTTTAGGTATCATAATTCGTGAATAAATGGATATTACACCGTACCGTCCACACCTAAATTCGTCTTTGTTGATTATTTTATGATTTAATTTTAACATTTCATGTATTTTTACCACGCGATCGTTTTACATAGATCATAAATAGTATGTTTCGTATGGGGCATCAATTTTGCTGACAGAACAATTCGCAAAAACTTAAAACAGTAACTTTATATAGGTAATAGTTGATACAAAAATATGTTTCATAACCTAACAATTCTATAGGTAAACAAAATTTTATTTTGTATATTTTAGGATATTCTGTTAATTTTTCAGACAATAATGTCAATAAAACATATCGAGAAAACATGTTATTAAGGAATGTTTTTGTTCAAAACTCATTGTAACGTATTAAATTATAATATTGTAAAAAAATACGAAACATATTTTTGTTAGGATTTCTAATTTGTTCATTTTCGGGAGCGTATTTTTATAGACATAATTCGACCATTTTTCGAGTAAATTACAAATTTATTATTTGGCTATAGCTATAGGTAACGCGATGTATCAACAATATTGTTGGAATTTTCATATTTACCTACAACTGCTTTTGAGTAACGTATTTTTTATGTTCTCTACGCGCTATCCGGACACGTAATCTGCATATTATATAATAATATCGTTTTAGGTGTATAATTTTCATATACACATTATTTTGCATATTCTTTTCCCCCCATACCTATTTCATTTTCACACAAATATTTTACCGCAGTCATATAATATAATATTATAATATTATCATACACCCGTATATCGTTTTACACACAACAATTATAGGTAGTTGCACCCACCTATACACGTACCCTGCGCTGTCATGTGTACGGCGAATTATTAATATATTTGCAGCGACCCCCAATGGCCGTATAATACGCTATAGCTGTGTTTGCGGGATTCGTGCCTATATAATTTCAAACACACGAATACAATATATCAGTATATTATATTGTATATAGGTACCCAGTAAATAGAGTATAAAACGCACACGAGCATGATAACCGTCACACGAGCGTCACGAAGAGCTTTTTACATTTATGTATATGGTCTTGCACAATATACAGGTAGCTGGTGTATTATACATGTACCTATATATATATATATATGTATATATTAGCCTGACTTTTAGTTCGATTCGGCGTTTTTTTTTTATTATTATTATTATTATTTTTTTTTTTTTAACTATCTTACGACACACACACGCAGCGCACGATAACGATTATTATATTCGTGTGCGTTTTTTCTCTGTTATCGCGGTCGACAAACCAACTACTGTTATGTACTGTATAGCTGCACGACTGCGGCTATATAGTATTATACAGGATGATTCACTAAGCGTGCTCGCTTCATTTTTTTTTTTTTTCAGTTAAATTTTGCGTATATCATTCGTACCAATTTTGGTTTTTCAAATGAAAACCTATATGAAAAATTCCATAAATAGAGAGTATTGCTTTAATTACGTTTTTGATTTCCGTCGACCCGTTAACGAGACATTCCACTTTTAAGTTTTCGTAGGGAGAGAGTAATGGAGCGCTAATAAAACGCCGCGCGCCATGTCACCATACAAATGATACGCCATTTCTCTCTCCATATCTAAGCTTAAGAGTGGAATATCTTGTTGTCGGGTTGATGAAAATTAAATAATTTGACGCCAAAATGTATTTAAAGTAATACTCCGTTAGTTTATACAATTTTCAATATACATTTTCATTTGAAAAATCAAAGTTGGTATCGCCACAAGATATTCCTTAAATGTTTTGAAAAATCTAAGTAATTGAAAAAACACTCAAAATTTCCAAAAATTTGAATACATGAAAAATGTAACCAAAAAAATTAAATATATATATATATATCCTATAAACTCTCCGTCGCGTAAGTGTCGTACAGTCGGCGAACAATGTCATTAAAATAATAAGTGTGGAAACATTTAATAAACGAATTTATCTGTTCTCGCATAACGAAACGGGAGTGCCGAATTAAAAAACTTCGAAAGTTATTGTTCCTAAACTTCGGGTGAATCGCGAATTCTATCAAATTAATATGAAGATTTCGGCACCGGTTTCGAAGAAATCGGACAAAGTGGGAGGGCCGACTACGTGAACGTAGCGAGTATGTACACCAACAACCAGTGGCAGATCTGACATATATTTAAAAGGGAACGGGTGAACTGGTAACATATTATTTGTGCTTACAAGACCGAAAACAAATTTCGAGGCAGGAGCTCCAAAATTTGTTTAATATACATTCATATTTTTTTACATTCCTACATACATCACTGGACACCTCTTCCACCTAATTACATAGTTTTAGAAACCTATATACAAATGAATAGGAAACGATGATTTTTTTTTTTTTTTAAAGTGAACGGTAGTCAACACAAATTATTATTGAATACAAATGGCATATTGGCATTGCGTATTATTTTGCACTACCCTCGCTCAGAAATAAATATAATTAGTTGTGACGAATAAAAGAAATTTTTTTTCTCAGAGGAATGTATTATAGTTGGGGTAATTCAATGACATCGAGTAGAAGAAGAATATGTTCTCGCTATATTTTATTAATGTCGGAGAGACGACATCACTTTATTATAATATAATTCCTTTTGCGAGCTGAATTTAAAAAAAAAATTTTTTGAGAAAAATGAATGTGTATTATACGATAAGAAAAGAAACTACACGGGTATAATATTATAAATAAGTACTATTATAACAATTTCTTTTTCTTTTTGGCGCACCCGAAACAACTTTTCTTCAATTATTCGTCATAAAAAAAATAAAATCGACATGAAATGACAAAGTCATCTTTTTTTCATTTATTTTACTATTCACGTAAAAACGTCACACGATTAACGTCACTGTCTGTGCAAAATAGACGTGGCATTTTGTTCAATTCGTTAATACAAAAATCGATATGTTAATCATTTATGTATACACCACGTCATTGTTAAAATATTCGCTTTAGACTTAAAAACGAAACGGTTTAAAAACACACAAAGACACAAGTGTTTTTACTTTTTACATACTAACACATACTTTACATATTTATACATTTTGAGTGGCGCGAGGAATTGGTTTTACAATGATGTTTATTTTTTTTATGACTGCAAGGTGGTATTTTAGGGAGGCTATTCTTTTGATTTTCCCAGGGGTTTTAGTAAATAATTTATCATAATAAATGTGAAAAACCGGGAAAATGTACGAAATGTATTATTTTTGTAAATATTACGGTATTTGAAAACATATATAGAATATACTTAACCGAATTCCACACAGAAACGTTAGCAAATATTAATCGTTGCATAAGGATACACATAAATTCCCCTTTATATCCAATCCTCCCAATTTTTCACCTACAACAATAGTTCACCCGTCGTGCGAAGCATGTCCGTATCTTTTTTTATTTTTTGTATTTATGTTTAAAATATTTTATTAAAGGTCACTTTAGTATACCTAACATACGATATAATACGCAGTTTAATTGTTTACAATCAGAGACGGATTCATCTACTTAATTTTATTACAACGTTACCACTGTATTATAGACAAAACATGAATGGTTTTTACCACAGTTTTGTGGAAAACATTTTACTAATGGGTGTATTCATAAATATGATAACAAAATTAAAAAAAAAAAAACAAAAAAAAAACGTGAAATATATCATCTACCCGTTTAATTCAAATTAGGCTAGTTTAATAACAAGATGGATGCAAACATATTTCTCAACAGTTTTATTTGTATAAATATGTAAGTTAAAATATTCAACGTTTAAAAATGTTTGAAATATTATATAACCACTCTACGTTTTACCGCTCTAAGCTGTACGGTATTAAAACGTAAAAGAAATGCACAACTATTTATACTATAATAATATGGACACAAGTATGTATAATGTATATGTTATTATATTTTGTTGATTTTTTTTTTTTTTATGTAAGAAAATTTAAAACTATATTTACATTGGTCGTAAAAATAATAACGTTATTAGAATTTATTTCGATTCAAACAACCGACATCGCATAATATGATCTTTTGGCAAATAACACAGCGGTATTTTTAAATATATTTCAATAGGGCGAATACAGCTATGTTTTATAAAATATTATTACTGCTTATAATCTACTAATCTACTTAAAAAAAAAAAAAAAAAAACAAGTATTTATCTATTCTTATACATTATTTATCAACTCGGTGTGTTATTCAATTGCTTTTCCGTTTTTATATGAAACGTTGAATATAAATTGTGTTAAAAAAAAATGCTCAAATTATCAACCAAATTAAACGAAAATTAAATTAAAATATCGCATGCAAATTTAATTTCTTTGCTTTTGCATAGTTTTAGAACAATCCATCCTAAAAAAACACACAGAAGTATAAAATTCGTTACTGCATTGCCGTAAGAACCTTTATAAAATTACATTGAAATAAAAAATTATTCAAATTCTTAATTAGAAAGCAAATTGTTTAAAAAATAATTATACCACAGTATTATATTTTGGAAAATCTAATAATATATAGATAAGTACCTAATAACTTTAAAACCTGAAATTATAATACAATTATACATACATTTTTTAACGTTCTAAAAGATTAATAAATAAGGCAGATGACTTCTAGTATTAGTATATATATTTTGGATAGTCGTGAAAATGCCAATTTTAAAGAAATTTGTTTCATGTTACAACTAAATTAAATCTATTATTTGTGTGTTCCATATTTTTGTACACTTAGATCCTTTTGCTTTTCGAGACATTTGTAGGTTTTTTCATAATTTCATAAGAAATAACATTTATCTAAACAAAAATCATAAATGAATATGTTAAAAAGATATAGTTATATTTTGCACGATTGGTAGTCCACTGTTGTAATTTGGAGAGGTTGAATATAAAGGAAAATTGAGTGCATATCTGTACACAACAATTAATCTTTCCTAACTAAAATCGATTGGGTTATACATGTTTTAAAAGATCATAATACTTTAATTAAAATTTTTATTAAAATTGCATACTAAAATTCTTATAAAATAAATTCTTCATTACGCTCAGTTTTTGCCGTAAAATGTACGACTTAAATTGAACCTCCTGTTGAATGGTCGAACATTTCTGTTTGATTTAACAATTTTATTCACAGAGTACCTACCGATTAAAAATTACGTAAAAACTTGCTAAATTAAAATGTCTGTAATTAGCTCAAAAATTACTAAAAATATTTTCAATATATTGAAAATTTGACCATGTCCTGAAAAGAGAAATATAAGTTTTATGTTCAAATTTCAAGTATTTACAAATATGTTTAACCGAATCATAATTCACAATAAAAAAAAAAAATTAAAAATAATACATTTTTTGTACATTTTCCCATTCTTTCCAATTTATTATGAAAACCCCTCGGAAAATCAAAAAAAAAACGACTTTCCAAAATTTCTTTTCTAAAAAGGTATTACATTTCAAAATCAGGGAAATGTTTTTGGTATAAAAGTTGTCCACAGTTTTATGCATCATTGTTAAACCAATACATTCCTCGCTTCTTTTAGAATCTCAAATATTATTTTTTAATGTGAGAAGAAAAAATGTCAAATTGAATACATTTCAAAATCAACCGAAATAATGTCTACTGAATTTAATCAATACAAATT